CTTGCACAGTAACTCCTCCTTATCACTTTTACATGATTTTTTTTTACTGTACATAAAGAAAATACTCTCAAACACACAACATGTAAGAAAATCTAGGTTGTCAGTAAAAATCTTTTTTCTGCACTCTGCAGGATTGTTCAAATTGAAAAAGACTTGCTTCATGTTGGACTTTCCTACTTGACTCACTGGTGCCTCTAGTGGTTGGAAGTGGAACTGCACCTACCATCATTGTTCTTGGGCAAGGGCAGATGAGTGAAAGGACAGGGACATTTCAGGGGGCCAAAAGCCCCGCACCTAGAACCGCCCCTGGATTACACATAAACTCTTTATTCCATTGTTTATTAGTAAAAATGACTGTACTTGTATGAATTTCCAAGGGAGAACATTATGCTTGTCTATCTGTTTGTGTTTGTTGAAGACCAAATTATAAGTCTTGGGAGCTTTTGTTGTGTAGGTCTGTCTGATATTATTGTGCAACAGAAGAAAAAACAGTTGTTCTTAGTTTGCAATTCCATAACAACGTATAAAGAAATGGAAAGATGGTATTTTTAACAACACAGATTTACAGTTCGACCTCTGCTAAAACAGTGAAATTGTCAGAGGATAAAATTCCTGGAGGCCCCAAGGACCCGCACTTATCTGGACTCTGATAAGTGACTCTGATCCTGCAGCACAGACACAGATTTGGTTACCCTTGGCTTCATAACACATTTTGCCTTTTCCTTTTTACTGTTCCAGATAAATATTTAAAGTTCAGCCATCTTTTCTGAGCAGCACACAATCAAACACACAAGACTGATGTTTCTGTAAAGGCAGAGCAACACACTTGGATGAAAGGATCTCACATTACATTTCAAAGAACACTACAAATAAGAGATGTATTGTTCCTAAAACTCAGGTGCGACTAGGAACATTCCCTGAAAACTGAGAGGCGTGTTAAAAACCTTGAGACAGACTCACACTGTACCAGATGATAACATGGATGTTGACAGAAATTTAATAAGGAGCACAGTATTGTGAGGTGAAGCTGGTTTATATGTAAATTAAAAAAACTGTAGATGTGTTTCCTGCTCCTGTTTAATCAGTGAGTTGCTTTCTGTGAAATGGATGAGATTCAGATATCAGTCTCCAATCAGCTGACCTGACGCTCTGAACAAACTTCTTGTTTGTCGGGTGTTTCTGCTGAACGCCGTGTTCAAGAATTAAGATGAAAGGTTGGAACAACCATAAGCTCAACATGTCCTGGATCAGAATGTATAAATCAGTAACGTGTTTAAAAACAGAAACAGCAGTTGAAGAGCTCAACTTTTCTGCCATTGTTAGAGTCTGCGTGCCGTCTGCTGCTAAAGGAAATGACACAAATTATCACCGTTTAGTCCACCCATCAAAGAGGCGACCTGTTTTTTTTAGACTTTTTTCATTGCAGTTTTTTTTTTCACAGTACATAAATTAGTTAGTGCATCTAAAGCATTTGCAAGCTCACAAGACCAAATATAAAGTCTAAGAGAGTTCCTCTTTCTTAAAGATCACACTTGAAATGCCTGATTTTTTTTAAAAGCAGTCGAGGAGTGTTTTTTTTCTTTTTCAGAGTTGCATAATCTCAGCGTAGCCTACTAGTTTGCCACATTTTCAAGCTCTGTTTCAGTTTGAACACTTTTGTAGTAAGTTTTTTCCTCTCAGGTCTTTTCAGGAAATATTTCTCACTACGAATTGTGAAATTTTGGAGTTGACTACCAAAACATTTGACCCAAACCACGTGTTTGAATGATTCACTCTGTTTTAATGGTGCTAATTCATCCATATTATTAGTCATTTCAATCATTTTGTCTTCTTTTAGCAATGAATTTAGTCAATTTTCTTCCAACTTACGCTTGCCCAATTCCACTTTATTATTAATTTTTTTGTAGCTCGGTCACATGACCCAAGCTTCGTTTTTGGCAAACGCATTTACATTGAATGCGTACCCGCATTTCAGAACTTGTATGCCCAGATAATACAGCACCATTTGAGTTCAGGAGAGCATTTTTTAAAGATTTTAATTAAGAATTTGCAACAAGTACATTTAATATGTGCCTTAAACATAAAATAATGACTTAAACATTCTTTCTAAATACTGACTGTTTCCATGTGGTGATTTCCAAAGTACAATTCAGCTTTTTACCCAAAAGGTAAGCCTTTCACTGTGAACGATTTGAATCGGTGAGCTCACTCTCTCATTTCTCCTTCCTTTTGTCTGATCCCTGAGACTTGGCAGCCGTACAGCACTGAGTATTCATGGAAAAAAAAACAGTTTCAGAGGTCGGATTCCACACAAGACAAACAAACGGGTCTCTCTCCATTGTCCCGCTGGAGACTTTCCCACCAAAAGACAAATGTCTGCTGCTTTATTGAAGCATTGAGCCCGAAGATCCTCATCTGCTACAAGAGAGTTATCATCAAAGATAAACGGTGACAGCAAGCCTTGTATTGATGAAGAAGTGAGCAAAGGGCAGTGTGCTGAAAGACCAAAACAGATTTTTTTCTTTATTTCTAGGGACCACACAAAAGATTTCACATGTACACTTTTATATTCTTTTGTATATTTACCTTGTTAATCTGAAAACRACCTTTCACTTTTTTATACAGTATGTGCAATTGGATATTTGACCCTTCAACTATTAATTTGTTTGGTTCATTGCAGCCGGATGAGTACGTAACTACATCCAAATCATATGACAAATAAACCACAGGATTTAGGAAATTGGGGACAGTTACATGTTGATTTGCGTATGATAAATGCAGCGAGACGGCTTTAAATGTCATAAATTACCAGCTGGTCAAATGAGACAACTTTAAAAGGGATTTAAGACTTCCTCCGAATCTTTGTTTCTCATAAGTCAGTCAGCAGGAAGTAACAGATACAGAATTCACTTTATTGCCATTGTCGCATTTTGTTTTGTTTTTTTTCACCACTTTTAGGCAGCATAGTTTGCATCACCACTGCTTACCTGACATTCTATTTTAAATCAAAAACCATTCAAATCTTTCTGCATAAATATAGACACTATCTTAGAGAGCTACAGTATCTTCTTACTTCTTCAACTTCCTAAAAACTCTTCAAACTATATAAAGAAATCTTTTTTATGTTAGAATAGTTTCCCCCTTTTTTGCTTAACTACTTCCTTTTTTATCCTTCCTGTAATGGTGTAACCTTTTCAAGAATGTTTTGCAGACTGGAGGTCGTAACCTTTGTTTAAATCTTGCTGCTAAACGATCATTTGTTCCGCAGTTCATGACACATTGTATATTTATTAGTTTTTCTTAAAAAAAAAAAAGCTGATACAAATATAAAAAGCTCTAAAACTGTTCTACATAATCACAAAAATCCCAAAGAGAAAATCTTCACGAAGAATTAACATTTTTTTAAAGGGATGCAGGTCTCCTGTTCATTGTCATAAACACACCAAAGAGTCGGTTTGATGTGGAAATCTTTACGTAATCAGTTCTTCAAATCGAGCCAGAGATGTTTTTCACTTCCATTTTCAGAGTTCTGCCTTTTATTTATGAGACAACTGTGGTATTTTACAACACCTTTGTTGGGAAACTGGTGCCTGCATGAGAGACTGTGATGAAAGCTGAACAAACTACTCAGTAATTGTGAGTTTAGGGATGTTATATCCAAAAGTATGATCTGTCTCAGTGGTGCTGCATGTCACGATGGCTGGTATTTAGTGGATAATGTGGTCACAGTTCAGTCATCTTTATCTGATTTACAGGATGGAGGGTTAGAAGGTCCACCTCACGCTGAGTCAGATTACACCTGGTCAAACAACACTGAGACTTGCTATGTTTTGCATGCAAAAAAAAAATACTTCTATTGAAAAAAATCTATGTAATCAAGTCTCTTGATGCAGATCGTTCATGTAAAACCACACTATACACCCAGACTGTGTGATGAATGCAAATTATTTTAGGCATCATTAGATTGAAATCTTTTTTAAAACCATTTTAAAGAAAAAAATCAAATAAAATGATTTGACCGTGTGTCCCACTTTCATCACTAGTKTGGATAATTGTGTTTTCAGTTCCCAGAGGAAAACAAGGGTTCAGCCTTTGTGTTTTGCTGAGACACTCATTACAGTGACCCATTTCTTGTTTGTTTACAAAAGGTTAGATTCCACTTCAAGCTCCAGACTGGACATCACTTTTCAGATTTTGAATCAGCAGAAGATGGAGTGATGATGTTGCCCTGCTTTGTGTTTATTGCCTGTCTTTAGTAGCTGAATTTCATCCCCAACACAACCTCTGAGCACTGGATTTGTTGTAAAAAACTATCCTATAAAGCAGTCAAATTGACCTTAATCTTAATAAAACAGAACTTCAAGATGGTCACCACAGCTAAATGTTATTGGTCAACATAAAAAAATGATTTTAACAGTTAATTTTACAGATATTGAGTTAAATTTGACGTGGCAGTGGCTGAGAGTCAACAAATATCAAACGCTAACAGGTCAGATAAAATTGTGCACATTTACAAGGTTTGACAAAAACAGCAACACCTCTGTCTCCTAAGATTACCTTTAATTTAAAACTCTGGAATGTAACACAACAGGAGATATGTAGGGAATGTTAAGAGCTTTAATAAGTTTGATTGTTGAAGATGTTTCACTTGAACTTTAACACTATCCCCTCCTTTCAGTCTTTTTTTGCCAACAATGTTTATTTCACTCAAGCGTTCATTAACCTTGAGATGTACGTAATTGAACTCACTGACGTGAGAAGCTGGCTGAGCTGTGGGCTTAACCACTCATCTTTAAACGTGGATACCACTCAATATCCTTTTAAGGAGCGGCGTCTGGAGTGTTGCTCAAGAAGGTAAACAACTCAAAGGTGAGTCAAGGCATCGGTAGCTTAAAGCTTCACCCCTCCCCATCTGTTAGTCAGAACTCATGAAGCATGAGTTCCTCAGAAGGCACGTTGAGTTGTGCTTAAAAAACCCTTACAGAAAGCAATCAAACAGATTTAATTTCTTATAGTTTATTTGAAGCTTATAGAACATCTGAACATAGTGTATTTTAAATAATATTGGGACTTAAAAGACAATTAATACATTCTATGACAGTGATAGAGGAATGAACGTGTTATGTGCCGTCTCAAACAGGCAGTGGTTAAGTACTGTTAAGCGCAGGCTGAGATGGGGTGGCTGAGGCCACTGAAGTAGGAGATTTCGCGCTCGCTCATCAGCTCGAAGTGCAGCGGCTGCTGGCAGAACGTGCACTCCGCCGACGGGTGACGCTTCAAGTCCAGACCCACCTCCTTCCACGTCTGCACCAGCCTCTCTGAAGAGGAGAAGAAAMCGAGACAAACGTTGGATGAACTCAAGCGAGACACGTACGCCCCTTTTCTGCTAGTGCCACGTGTAGTGTCGGAACAGGTCAGTTTGGGTGCCTTTCCATTGATGTTCCATTGATGTTCCAGTGGGTGTGTTTTGGGCGGTTGGTGGAGGTGGTTTTTGGGTTTTTCAAAAAAAGAGTTAATGTGCAAAATGAGAGATGAAAACACATTTGCCAAATAAGTTCTGAAATTTTAAAAATTTGCTAAAAATTCAAAATAAAGTTGGATGGAAACACAACACATGTCGCTGCTACAATTGAAAAAAATGGCGCCTCAAATTCTTGTAAAGGCAGCTCAGACGCAACCAGTGACTCCACCCACTAGCCAATCAGTGATGAACAGTGTTCTGATGTCGCATTTTGGTGTTGACTGGGACCACTTGGAACCACAACTAAGTAGGTACTAAAAAAAGGGCTGGTTCAAAGTATCTGGCCTAATGGAAATGGCTTGGAACCGTATCAAACCGTACCAACACTGCACTAAGAGCGACTAGTGGAAATGGGTCAGTGCAGTCCCAGCAAGTTAAGCTACAAGTTTGATGGACTTACAAGAAACTAGAAAACAAAAGCATGCATTTATAAATTTAAGACTGATTCATTGTCCTACCAACAAAGTACTTCATCATCTCCGGACTGTGGTGAGGAGTCGGGGCGATGCGCAGGAGCTCTTCTCCCCTCGCAACAGTGGGATAGTTGATGGCCTGCACATAGATGTTGTGGCGACTCATCATGATGTCACACACCTCCGTGTTTTTCTCAGCATTTGCAACCTAAAAAAAAAAGGGGGGGGGGGGACAATTAGCGGAGCCTTTGAGTTTATGTCACACACTGCTAATTTGGCAGTTATACTTGAAGCGTTTTAGGATTTGTAAGATTAAATCACAGCTGACCCGTATTGGGATGATGTGGCTGGGGCAGTGCACAACAGGCAGCCCCGAGTCCATCAGCATCTGCCTGAGAAGCTTCACGTTGCGCTGGTGTTTGCGTCTCAGCGCGCGGCCCTCTTCGCTTTTAAGAATCTGGATGGACTGCCGGGCTCCAGCCAAAAGCATCGGTGGCAGAGACGTAGTGAAGATGAAACCGGCAGCGTAGGAGCGCACCGTGTCCACCAGCGCAGAGGTACCGGCAATGTAGCCACCGACGCAGCCGAAGGCTTTACCTGGAAGAGGAAACGGACGGTTATTCTCCGAACATCATTAGGAGGCCCGCGTTGAAAGACATGCAGTTTTTAAAAATCGAATAACCTTCTTCACAACGCAGTTACACAAGAGCTGCARAGCTGCTGGGTTAGAAATAATCATCCCCTCAGCTTGACAGCAACACAAAGTAACTCAATAAGAGCGCAATGAGAGCCCACAGTTTCCTAGCAACAACAGAGCTGCTCCAGCTTCTTTAAGCTCTCAGGCATATTGTGTGACACAGCTGAGGTTTAATCCCCAGGATGACACAAACAAAAAGAGTCCTGATGACAGGGAGATTTGGTTCAAAATTTAAATAAAACAACAAAACTAAAGAAAAGCATTCTGGCACTACACCCCATCTGTTGGGGAATTACTTAAAGGGATCCCTGATGAGTTGGAACATTAGACTTTATTTGATAAACATATATTTTAACTGTAAAATAAAGACTGTAAAAATACTGTAGGATGTTTGGTTTTGTAAATTTTTAAAAATATATTTTAACACGGACGGAGCCATTTTATTTACATGCAAAGCATTCTGGGTAAATGATGATGTGGATAGGTCCTCGGTGTGAGCGAGCTATATCCACCCTGAAGGTTAATCTTGGACAATGTCTGACGATCGACTCTTTTACATGAAACCAGAGCGTTGACAGAGAGAAGGTAGAAATGACTCAGCCTGTAACTGAAAATATGGATGGAGGACAACAGAGCTGCTTCATGGAAGAAGAACCTCAGCTTAGCCTGTTAGCCTTTGCGCTAGCACCGATGCTATATTGCCTTATATGTATTAGCTCGGCGCTAGCGCAACAAACAGGCTAAACTGAGGTCCTTCGTCCATATGTTCAGTTACAGACAGTCATTCAGGGTGGATATAGCTCGCTAGCAGCCTCGCACCAAGGACCTATCCATGTCATCATTTACCCAGAATGCTTTGCGTGTAAATAAAATGGCCCCATCCATGTAATATATTTAACTTTTGTTTAAAAATGATAAAAACTGAACATCCTACAGTATTTTTACAGTCTTTATTTTACAGTTAAAATATATGTTTATTAAATAAAGTCTAATGTTACAACTAATCATGGTTCCCTTTAAAAAAGGACAAATGCTCTGAGCATCACTTTCATGCTGACCTAGAGTTCCTGAAATAATATCCATCTTGCCCATGACTCCATCCCTGTCTCCGATGCCACCTCCTCTGACACCGTACAGACCCACAGCGTGAACCTCATCTACGAAGGTGATGGCTCCGAACTCATGGGCCAAGTCGCACATCTCCTCTAGCGGACACACAGCACCTGTGACATTGAACACAATGCAGGTCGTATTAAAAATATGGATATGGTCACACCAGAATGTTTTTTTTTCTTTTTCTTTTTTGTAGCAAAAGCAGTGTAACAGTCCATAAAAGACGAGTGCTAAAATAAACAAGAGTAAAAAAAATAAAAATAAAAAATACTAAAACTGACCATCCATGGAGTGGACGGTTTCAAAGGCCACAATCTTGGGTTTGGTGGGGTCTCCCTTCTGCAGCAGCTCTCGGAGGTGAGTCACGTCATTGTGGCGGAATATGAACTTCTTAGCTCCGCTGTTCCTGATCCCCTGAATCATGGACGCATGGTTGCCCGAGTCCGAGTAAATCTCACAACCTGATGTTTGAGGAAATACTAAGTAAAAACAGGCCAAACTGAAAACAAAAACATTTTTTTGTTCAAACATACAAAGTAAGTTTTATTTACCAGGCAGCATTTTAGCGAGGGTGAAAAGAGTGGAGTCATTTGCGACAAAGCAGGAAGTGAAGAGCAGCGCCGCGTCCTTCTTGTGAAGGTCAGCCAGCTCGTGCTCTAGTTCCACGTGGAACTTGCTGGTCCCAGAGATATTCCTGGTGCCTCCTGCCCCTGACCCATGCTTTTGTAAAGTATCCCTGGACACAAAGATTAAGCAAACAAGGAAAAAAGTTAATCAGTGACGCTCAGAATTTCTTAAAACTGCAGTGTTGAAACAGAGCAATTTGTTCTCTAGATAGAAAGCTTAAAAGACACAGAAAACAACAAGTTGTACTGTAGTAAGCAGTAAATGCTGAAAAAATAACACTTTCATTAGAATAAATGAGTTGAACAACAGCCAACTTATTCAACTATATAAACAATTCAGTAAAAACACTCGTGTGTGTCAGGTTGTGTTAAATGATTAGGTGAAATGGCTTTTCTCATTCTATATGAACTCTGCTCTGGATCAACAACTGCAGGGCAATCAGAGTAAGCAGGCAAAGTAAAAAAAACAAAATGTTTGCCTGATTACCTAACAAGCCTTGACCCCAACAAAACTGGTTACAGCAGTGCCCTTTGTAGATTACACACGCAAACCACTTCTATCACTTACATGATAGATTGCACAACTCGAGGGTGTCGACTCATGCCCAGGTAGTCATTGCTGCACCACACGGACACCTCCCTTTTGTCCTCCAGAGAGCCCGTGAAGTCGTCAGCCATGGGGAACTCGGAGGCCAGACGATTCACGGTCTTAAACACGCGATAYGTGTGATCGCTTTTCTTCTCTTCGATCTTCTTCTCAAAAAAGTCATCGTACTGGAAGCGGGACACTGTGACGGAACAGAAGAAAAAAAATACACAAAATTGCTGTTTTTTTTTAAAAGAGCAATCGGAGCATCTTAAAAATGACACAAGCGTTCGTGCCCAAACCAAAAAAACTAAACATACTTCTATTAAGCAAGTTGTCCTGCAGCAAGTGGGTGACCCTCTTAGGACGCTGCTTCAGAAGAGTTTTGAACAGATTACCCTGTTCCCCTTTTTTGGCAGTATTGGCCAAGGATGGCTGCTTCAGTTGGGCTGGTGTAACTTCTGAAATAGGTTAGGAAATGAAAAAATAAACTGTTAGGTAAAGTACACTATGCTAATTTTTTTATGTGTAACAACTCTTACCTGTCTGGACAGTGCGTACTTCCTCTACATCCTCTTGGAACTCCATGGTAACCTGACGGACCACACCACTGTCCTTCTGGTTCATCTCAGCTGCCARGAAAGGGCATTTTGAGGCCACGGCTTGGCCAGGAGGCGGCATGGGATGACCAGCAGGCAGCTTCGACTCAGCCTCCTGCTTAGGCGCTGTAAGAGAAGAAAAGAAATAATAGGATTTAAGTATATCCACATGCAAATATTAAAACCAACATACAGTTAAAAACAGTAATTTTGTCAGTCTTTCCAAAAGCACACACATTTTTTCTGAATATTATGTGGCTGCTGTGCTAACGAGAACAGTAATCCTCAATCACACTTACCGGTACGATCACTCTCAGCCTTGGTGTTAGTCGTCTGATAGAAGGATGAGGAGCAAAGGGCCCGTGCCATTGAAGGAGCCATAGGTTTTGAAGCAAGCTCCATCATGATGGGGCATCGCTGAGCATACGAGACCAGTGACTTTTTGGACTGCTGGAAAAAAGCCTGGGGCATACCAGCCAAGAATGGGCAGCGGCGCACCATCACATCCATTGTCAGCGAATACGGTGATGGTCTGTAGATCTAAAGACAGGAAAACCCTTTAACATAGGAAAGGATATAAATAGCTGAAATACATCACATCTTACATATTTTTACTTCTCTAAGAAAACGTTCACTTCCCATTTCACATGCGTAATGTACCAGGTGTCTGGTGACATTGTAATAAACAGAAACACTTTTTCATTTCCTACTTCCTAGTCCAGATAATATCAGGTTTACACATTCCTGAACAGAAAGCTCACTTCCAATTTTTTCTCCATTATTCAAAAATAAAATAAATAAATAATCAAATAAATAAATAAATAAAATAATAAAAAAACACCAGAGGCAGTAAAAACGTATAACCAAGAAAACAAACAGATTAAAGTTTATAAAAGGTATAATGCTAATTCATGGTGTGTCTTCGTAACAACTGAAACATAACATTTAGTTATTACGCGGTCTACAAAACAGAAAAAAAAAAACATTAAAAAAATCCTTACTAGCATATTACAGAGAAACCTGTTTACGCTCTGATTCAGACATTATATTAAAATACAAGCATCATGACTGTAACACCCCAAAATCTAATTTCTTAATAGTTTCTTAACTAAAACTCCTTGCGAAATCTGTTATTAAACGCTCATTTTCATGACAATAGCTAGCGTTAACAGGTTAAAAAAAATACCTAAACACAATCATTAAAGCCTATAAACAAACTGAGTTTTAATTGTGAGAAGTCTTCCGGTGATCTCTGCCGGTTGACCTCGGCTCTGTTAGCTAAAATGCTAAACTCAGCTCTGCAGCTAGAAGAAAACGAACACTGAATGCTACACCTACCTTTTAGATTAACACAGGAGAATATAATCCTCACGTAATGAGCAGGATAACAACGAGGGTGTTAAATAAATTGAACACCTAGAAATAAAATAGCTCGGTTTTTTTGCTAGGATAAAAGCCTCACTGTGCTTCGTTATCCTGCACTGAGGACGAACGAGGGACGCAACGTAACACGGGTTTATAAATCCTCACGCACGTCGAAATCTCGCGAGATTTAATTAAAAACGTCAAACCCTCTTAAATCTGCATACCAATCATAACATAAGAAAAAATCCCCAGACACGTAAACGCTTGAACGACTCTCTGATAACTTTGAGTTACAGTTAATATATAATATGTTAACGAAATTATATATTGTGAAAGCTTTACTTTATTCAACAAAACTCTGTATTTCATTAAAAAAAAATCAAAATGATTGGTGACAAATAGTAGAAAATTATGGCGTTCCATTTATATCAAAAATAAGTAGAAGTAATATGTGCAAGTAGAAGTAATATGCATTTTATTGATTAATATGAGTTTTTCACTACAAAATTATTTCGTCTAACCTGTACAAATGATGTCTCCCACTAGGTTTTCAATTYTATATGATTAGTTACGGTACTGTGCATCACTTATATTTTTTTTACAAAGCAAATCAGATCTTTCGGCAGCTTCAAATAATTTTCTTTAAGAATAATTGTGTTTTTTAAAAGGGTTTGTGAAGCCTGGTGTCAGAGCCACGGTGATCTGCTGCCCTCTGCTGTTTGTTTAAGGCAATATTTCAATGAATCTGCAGCGTTTTATTTTTAGTAAAATTGAGTTAAATTGTTAGAAAATTGTTTACTGAACATCATGTTGAAACAATCATGGAGTAGCTATGTATGTATGTATGTATGTATGTATGTATGTATGTAT